TAACATAGGTAGAATGTTTGGCACAGGTACTAAACAAATATTAGCTAATATTATTATAATATTATTATTGGTTTTCTTAAAATGAACTCATTCTAATTATTGACCATTAGCATTATAGTTTAGTAGATGTCCATAATGAACCAGTATCTCTACATGATTTTTATCCTGTCATAACTGAAATTTGCCACTGTTGCCTTCCCCCATCTAAGTTGAGATATTAATTTGAAATTTATGGCCAACATCTAGCCTGAGTGATCATATTCTAACCATGTGAAATTAAACTCCCTCTTAATGTTGAAGATTTACTATCTATTTCTCTGTATCTATGTAATATAGTCTGTTCAGACTTAAAATTTTGATCAGTGCTGCTAGACATTGTTGAATAAAACAGAGGGGGAAAGGGTTATTATGGCAGGATGAGAAATGAACAGTACTTAATGAACTTGCATTTCAATTGAGAGAGTTTTTAATAAAAAAGAAAGCTTTTTATAAATTCTTTTGCTCAGCAACAATAAAAAGAGGAAAAGAGCACTCAGCTGGGAACAATAGCTACTCAGCTCATAAAAAATCATTAGAAGGAACATTTTCTTTGTCCACCATGCCCAGCAATTTCGCTGGTGGGCAATGATCCAGATCACTTAGGTTCCACCTATAAAAATGAGTCCAGAGAACCTTCTCAATTTTTCCAGCTAATAAATTATGCTAACAAAAATCCCAATATCTTAATGTAATGCCACCGTAAGTAAAATTTTGACTCATAATTCACGGAATCTTTTTGACTAGATGATAGTGATCCAGCATTCACAGTATTTGCTCTTTGGGATGCTTTTCCATTAGAAGGGAGGGACTATAATGACACGTTTACTCACTCCCATCAAATCGTCCTTGCAGCCAGGGGCCTGTATCTGGTTGATGACTGTTGGGCGAGGTGCAGAGTGCCTGGGGACAGCATGGTTCCACTGTGTGAAATGAGCTGGTTTTCTTTTCACTGCAGTCTCTGTAGCTCATCTTAAGTTGGTTTAGAGAAACTTCATATTCTTCACATAAAAGGCCGGGCTGATTCATCTTCTCCCATGAATGACATTAAACTGGACTAAGCTAATTGTCAAGTGTGTTGAAGGCAAGTCAATAAAAGCTCTTTTCTGTGTGCAAGGTTCCCCATGACAACCAAAAGATTTCTGCACATAAATAAATATGTTATTTCTAATGACCCTGCTGGGCAATCATAAGCATGACCATTAATGTAACTCTTACTTGTCTCATTAATTAAAAAGTATGGGGCAGAAAAGTCACCTGTTTAAGAATGCTTTTTTTTTTTTTTTGTATTTAGTTTGAACATGTTGAACATTTTAGGAATGAACTTATATCTTTACTGCCTGATATAGTTAAGTATTCAATATCTGCTGAATGTCTAAAATACATTTAATACAGAGTAAAGTGCTCTGAAGACTAAACAATGTATTCCAAGCCCAACATTTTTTCCTAATCTTCTCTCCACTTTTGACTTTATGTTGAAGATTGGCACCATCAACTAAGATCTAAATAGATCTACAGGGATGCCGTGTTCCCCTTTAATTAACTGTCCATATGACTTACACTTTCTCTGCAATCTGTTTTGTTTTTAAAAGGTCCTTCCTCGTCCCTCAGATTGCATCTAAGATGTAAGAATACACAGAAACTGCAATATCAACAAAGAGCTTAATTAAGGAGAATATGCAATGACAGCAAATACGAAAGTGCAATCTTTACTGAAGATAGGTAACCATTCAAATTAGCTTTTTACAGATAATAAGGAGTTGGGGGGTGGGTAGCTAGTGAAAATTCAGTTTTGTAAGTATACTGCCATTTAGAGAATTATACCTGGGTATCTGCAACAGTAAACAAGACAGATACGATCCCTGCTCTCAGAGAACTCATAATTCATGGTATTACTTTTGCTGGTTGCACTAGAAAAAGAGGAATACATTTTTTTAGCTTGGCCTTCAACTACATAGGTAGAGTTGCGGAGATCTGGGGATTAGGATGGCACCCTTAGGTACAAGGATAACAGCAGAAAAACAGTAATTGTATTTATTAACTGAAATTTTCTGAGCTTATACTCCAAGTAGCTATAGTTCAATTATATATGCCTGATTTTAAGTAATGCCTTCACAGATTTAAGGGAGAAAATATCCCAACCCTGTCCTGCTGCATATTAAAGATGACCACTGACTCTTTCAGTCCTATCCTCTCTTTGAATCTAGGCAGGCTCTGTAACTCTTAGACCAACTGAATATGGCACAACTGATGCCCGGACAGTTTCCAGACCCAGGAAGAACAATTTGGCAGCTTCTATTTTTTTGCCTCTTGGGCCACTCTCTAACTGCTATGGTGTGATGATGCTCTACCATCCCTAGGGATGAGCCTATGTAAACAGGAACCTATGCATGGAGGGAGGAACCAAGGCTCTCCGTCAACAACCAGGTCCAACTTGTTGGCCAGAGAAGTGGTGCCTCCAGCCTCAGTTAATGCTGCATGGAACAGAGATGAGCTGTCCCCACCATATTCTACCCAAATTGCAGATTTAAGGGCAAAATACATGATTACTGGGACATACTTGAAACTTTACCCTTAATCCAAGGTGGTTTTAAAGATAAAACTAATTAAATGGGGCAGTGAAAGTAAAAATTAAAATTTTTTGAGCATTTATGTGACTAAATGCTTTACACATCCTTATTCCCCATAATAACCTTATTAGATTTTCTTTATTTTATAGATACAAGTTATTGACTGGAAAATTAAGTAACTGCCCAAGTTCACATAACAGGAAGATAGTATTTAAAATCAGCTCTGACTTCAAGGCACCTGCAAAGAAAATGGGAATTAATGAAATTCCAAGCTAATGCTGGGGTGACTCAAATTCTCATGAATAAAGTATGGATTAGAAAAACATGACATCAATTAAAAGATGCATCTGAGGCTGCCCCAATATTCCTTAGCAGAACTTTCCAAATCAGCAGTAACATTTTCTGATGTACAGCATTCAGAAAACAGCAACATTATCTCAGTACGTACAACTTTATGCCTACTAAATACAAGTGCTCCAGAGTCAAGAGGTTACAAAGATGAATGGCAAGATCCTTGCTCTGAAGGTTCTTGCATTTTAGTATGAGAAATAAGGTATGTTACACAAAGAGTTGCTCACAAGGTACCAAGCTATAGTCCCTATATACCATCTGAAGAATAAAGTGCTACAGGAATTTATTCATTCACTCAACAAATATTTATTGGGTGCCAATTTAACAGTAAACAACAGACATGATGTCTGCTCTCAGAGAGCTGATAATTCATGATATTACTTGTGCTGGAAGCACCAGTAAAAGAAGGACACATTTTAGCTTGGCCTTCAGCTATGCCTAGACTTTGAGCAGGTGGAGATCTGGGGACTGGGATGGCGTTCTTAGGTACAAAGGTAACAGGAGAAAAATGAAAAACACTAAAGCATAAGAAAATGAGTAGGACATGTATAAGGACTTTAAAGCAAGAACCATATTTCATCGGCTTTAAGGTTCTACCAATTTTAAGTCAGGATCATTGTTTTATAAACCAAAAGAAAAAAGTGTTAAAGTTTTACAGAAGTGGTTCTCAACTGGGGGCGATTTTTGTTCTCTAAAGGACATTTGGCAATAACTGGAACCATTTTTGTTGTCACTGCTAATGAGAAATGACTAGTCTTTAGTAGTGATTGCTAATCATCTAAAATGCACAGGAGACCTCCCACAGAAAAAAGAATTATTTGGCCTAACATATCAATAATGCCAGGGTTGAGAACTCCTAAACTACAGAATGTTAGAAATTGAAAGATGTACCTAGGATATCTAAAAAGTATTTTAAGATAGAGAAAATGCAGTAGTTCTGTTTACCTGGAATTAACCCAAGAGTACTGGGGAATAATGCTGGCACTCTGTATCTGAATCTGTTCTCTCACCTTTGGAATAGTAAAGTGATAATGATCAGGGACTACGTTTTAAGAAATTAATTTTAATGCAGTGTAAGTCACAGGACTGGCCTTTGATGACCACTCAGTCCAACCCTTGCTTTCCAGAAACCCTGCACTCTAATCACACTAATTGATATATCTATTTCTGCTAATTCTCCTCTCAGGAGAAATAACACTGACTCATCTCACCAATCATATGGTATCTCTTATTTTTCTTTTTTAAAGCCCAGTTCTATGCCACAAACTCCACAAAGCTCCATGCCACTTATTCCTCCCTCATGCACTGTTTAACATATTCTCTTCTTCCTCTGAACTTTAAAAATATATCTGTAGCTAACCCTATTCACCATTTATGTGATTTATCCTTCTATGTATCCTTTGGGTCATGATCCATAACTGCTTCATACTTAAAACTCTCAGGGGACCCACAATAGTGACTAGCACATCAAAAGGGGTCAATAAATATTTGTAGATGAGTAATGAATAAATACACAGTACTGAAAGACTATAATTAAATACAAACTCCTCAGACTTTTCTCAGCCTTTCCTCACAGAACTCATTTTGTAAACCTGAATCATTTTAGTAGCTCTCCAAGCCCTCACACTTTAGCTATAGGGTATCAGAGAGAGCAGGGTTCTTGAACAAGTTCTTAAACCCTACTCTACAAAACACCATTTAATAAATTCCATTACATTTCAGGTATCTCCAAGAGGTATCAGCCAGTGCTTGCTTGTTCTAAGACATTTTAAGCACGTTATATAGGTAAAGTCCCAAATTCCCTGAAAAAGAGAGACAATATAGGTACAAATATAAGCAATAAGATAATATCTACTCATTGCTCACAAATCCCAATTGCATTCTTTGACAGTTACACTTTTTGCATACGTGTGTGTGTGCACGTGTGCGTGTGTGTGTAGGAGGGAATTTAGAACATAGCAAAAATCTTAAAAATGTATGAATGTCACAAAGAAGAAAAAAGATTAGTTATAGAATTTTAAGGAGATCCTTTAAAAGATAAAAAAAAAGCAAGACTATTAATATTTTATTGTTATACAGCCTAATGGTGGAAGGAAGGATGTGGTCAATGCTTACAGAAAATTAAGAAGACCATGTTTTAGAATATTTTGCAAGGCTTTTTTATTTTTTTTATTTTTTATTTTTTTCCCCCTTCAGCGTGATGCTTGAGCATCAATCAGTGTTTGGTTGTTGTTTCTAGTAAGTCTTTTGCTTCATTTATTTTGATTGCTAAGTAAGGAGATCCACCTGAGAGAAAAAAAGAAAAATGAATTAAAATGTACTTCATCATTGACATACTCTAAAGTCCCCTAAATATAAAAATACTCTTCTCTGATATTGTCTCACACATTAATCATCTGATGAATTATTTTATAAGCTAACTAGAAATCCAAACCATATAAATTAAACTTGATTAGTGAATTCCTACAACTATTCAACAATCAAAAAAACCTCTGAGAAAAATGATGGAAGAAAGGTACGATCAGAAATAACTTGAAAAACAATAAAATATTTCACTGGTCAGACATTCATCATTCATTTGACCAGAGAATGTTCTAAAATTAAGTGAATGGTTAGGTAAATAAAGTTACAGGCTTTCCCATGACTTCTTTTTTTTTTTTTTTAAAGACATATTCATCTGTGAAGAGGGTATCTTTTTGAAGAAGGTAAATCAATTCAAGAGGTCTTTTAAAGTCCTAATCAAGGCTTACGATGTCACAAAAATAAAATGCATGTTTAAAAAGGCAACCATGGGAGGCCGTGGCAGGGGAATTGCTTGAACCTGGGAGGCTGAGGTTGCAATGGGCCGAGATCGCACCACTGCACTCAGGCCAGGTGACAGAGTTACAAAGAAAGCCGATAAAAGTTTAAAGTACTTGGTTATGAAATACACTGATTTCATGATTATGTTTGAAGATGATCTAGCAATCAGGAATTAGGCAGTGCCTATGTGGTGAGCTGTTTAAATTCTTAAGAGTTATCAGAGTGATATCCTCAATGTCCTGAATATCCTCAGCAAATATTAAAATATTAATTGAATTTAAACATAACCTTTAATTGATTGATATGCATTCTGGATATTTAAATCACAGGCCGTAATATGCTCACTCAGCAGTCAGAAAAAATGCTCTCCTGGTTAAAATACCTAGGTGCTGGCACTGAATCCTGACTGATGGCATATTCTAGATTTAATGAAAACAAAATGCTCTTGGCTGGATACAGTGGCTCACGCCTGTAATCCTAGCACGTTGGGAGACTGAGGTGAGAGGATCGCTTGACCCCAGGAGTTTGAGACCAACCTGGGCAATATAGTAAGACTCCATCTCTATAAAAAATTAAAAAGTTAGTTGGGTGTGGTGGTGCACACCTGTAGTCTGAATTACCGGAGAGGCTGAGGCTGCAATGAACCTTGATTGCGCCACTGCACTCCCGCTTGGGTTAAAGAGTGAGGCCCTATCTCCAAAAAAATAAAGAAAGAAAAAGAATAAAGAAAATAACATTTTTCAATCCCTCTCAGTTTTCTGGGGGAATTCACTGGGTTCCATTTAATTAGAACACTCAACCTTCACCCTTGGTATTTCTGTATCTTTGTACTTCTACCACTAAATATTGCCAGAGTTCTTCTGCTTCTGGCTACTGTGAACTATCACGTTTAAGACCAACCCTCCCACTGACACCCAACTAGAAGAGCTAAATAAAATATAAACACATCAGTATAAAAGCACTGGAGGGCTACCAAGTCAGTCAGGTCTTGAGGGCCAAGATCCTGATAAAGGAAATGCACTATGATGAGCCCAACATTCTGCACTGCTTTTTTCCTTCAAAGAAGCCAGACACAAAAGAGTATATAATACTATTCTATATGTGTGAAACTCTAAAATGACATGTCTAATCTGTAGTCTATGGCAAAAAGAAGAATGGTGACTGCCCAAGCTGTGGCGGGGGAGGGAAGGGAGACTGGCAATGGGAAGGAAAAAGGAATCTTTGGAGCTTATGGAAATGGTCTATGTCTGGATTGTTAGTGGTTACAGGCACAGATATATTTGCCAGAACTCATCAAATTGCACATTTAAATGGGGGATTCTATATAAATTATATCTCAATAAAGTTGATTAATAAAAATACATAGCAGACTATGTATTGTTTTAAGAGACTATACTTTTAAGAAATAGAAAAATATATACACTATCAAAAATAACGCTGACATTGCTATGCTAATTATGAGATGAAGTACGTTTTAAGGCAAAATCCAAAAATAAAATGGGCAAATTTATAGTGTTACAAGGGTCAGTCTACTGCTAAGAGAAAGCAATTTAAGTTTGAATATACCTAATAAGATAGCCTCAAAATATGCAAAAAAAAAAAAAAAAAGGAGAAAACAAAAAGAAAAAACTCACAAATCCACAATCTTAGTGAGTGATGCCTCTTCTCAATAACGCATAAAACAAGTAGACAAGATGAGAGTAGGAACACTGAAGTAAAATAACATGAACAAACCTAATTTAACTGACACATAAAACATTCCACCCTACAAGTGCAGAATGTATCTTCTTTTAAACTGCACATGGAACATTTACTGTAACTGACCATGTGCAAGGCTATAAAGCAAGTCTCAACACACTTCAAAGATTAAAATAACAATAAATGGTTCTACTTAAAAGTGTGTTCCATGGACTAATGTTGATTTACAACTACTATTAGACCATAGACATATTTGGAAATTGAGAATAAGTGTTTAGAAAATATAGCTGTTTGATATAATATTGTATCCCTGTAAAACCTGGATATTATAATTTTCTAGTAATTTAATTTTCATTGTATTTTACAAAAGCAGTCAGTCCACTTGAGATTGAGAGAGAAAAAAAAAAAGTCCTCCAACACAAAGAGTTCGAGAAACACTGAAAAAGAGTCTGTTAATTGACCATAGTAGAATTAAACTAGAAATGAGTAACAAACATATCCAGGGTATCCCAACATTTGAATCTTAATCAATACACTTCTAAATAACTCATGCATCAAGGAAGATATCACAATAGAAATTAACATCCAAGAGAGAGAATCAACATAGTGAAAGATTAGTTCTCTAAAAAAACTAACCAACTTCATGTCACAGCATGTTAAAATGTAAATGAAAGATAAATTCCAAGAAAAACAAAACTTCAATATGAGAAGAAATGAAAAATCAAAAGAATATTTAAGAAACTAAACATTAATTAAAAACCTTCCCATAAATAAAAATCCTGGTCATGAGTTTACTGAATTTTTCTGAAAAACAGAAAACACTTTTTAACTCTTTTATGAGGTAGCATATCTTTGATAACAAACCCTAGTGAAGATGTCACAGGGAAACCACAGACCCATATCTCTCATGAGCACAGGTGCAAAACAAACAAAATATTCACTCATCAAATGTGACTAGCTATTATGACCAAGTTATGTTTTTATCAGGAATGCAAGATTGGCTTACATATTGAAAAATTAATCAATGTAATTTAGCACATTAACAGAACAAAAAACAAATATATAATCATGTCAATAGGTTCAGAAAATTCAACACACATTCATAATAAAAATTTTCAGTAAAGCTCCTGCACAGCAAAAGAAATAAACAGCAGAATAAACAGAAAACCCACAGAGTAGGAGAAAATCTTCACAAACTGTGCATCTGACAAAGGGCTAATATCCAGAAGCTACAAGGAACTCAAACCAATCAGCAAGAAAAAAAATAATCCCATCAAAAAGTGGGCTAAGGACATGAAAAGACAATTCTCAAAAGAAGATAAACAAATGGCCAACAAACATATAAAAAATGCTCAATATCACTAATTATGAGGGAAATGCAAATCAAAACCACAATGCCATACCACCTTACTCCTACAAGAATGGCTATAATTAAACAATCAAAAATTATAAATGTTGGCATGGATGTGGTGAATAGGGAACACTTTTACACTGCTGGTGGGAGTATAAAGTAGTACAACCACCATGGAAAACAGTATGGAGATCCTTTAAAGAACTAAGTGTAGAACTGTTTGGTCCAGCAATCCCACTACTAGTTATCTTTCCACAGAAAAAGAAGTCATTATGTGAAAAAGACACTTGCACACCTTTATAGTAGCACAATTCACAATTGTAAAAATATGGAGCCAGCCTAAATGCCCATCAACCAACATGAGGATAAAGAAAATGTGGTACATATATATCATGGAAAACTACTCAGCCATAAAAAGAAATAAATAATGACATCTGCAGCAACCTGGATGGAACTGAAGACCATTATTCTATGTGAAGTAACTCCGAAATGGAAAACCAACATATATTCTCATTTATAAGTGAAAGCTAAGCTATGAGGACACGAGGACATAAGAATGATATAATGGACTTTGGAGTGGGGAGACAGAAAGGGAAGATGAGGGATGAAAGACTTACACATTGGGTACAGTGTACACTGCTTGGATGATGGGTGCACCAAAATCTCAGAAACCACCATGAGAAAGCTTTTCCATGCAACCAAATACCACTTGTTCCCGCAAAACTATTGAAATAAAAATAAAAATAAATAACAAATAATAACACTAAATGTGAATGGATTAAACAATCCAATCAAAAGGCAAAGGTTGTCAGACTGGATTAAACAACGTGATCCAGTCAGGTGCAGTGGCTCAATGCCTATAATTCCAGCACTTTGGGAGGCCTGGGCAGGAGATCACTTGAGTCCAGGAGTTTGAGGCTAGCCTGAGCAACACAGTAAGACCCTGTCTCTATTAAAAAGAGAGAAAAGAAGCAAACAAGGATTAACCAACTATATGTTCTCTACAGGAAACACACTTTAGATTTGAAGACAAATAAACTGAAAGTAAAAGGATGGAAAAAGACATATCCTGACAGCAGCAATCTCTGAAAAGCTAGACTAGCTAATGAGACAAAGTAAACTTTGAAACCAAAAATATTATTAGAGATGAAACGGGACATTTCATAATGAAAAAAGGGCCAATGAATCTGGAAAATGGAACAACTATAAACATATGTGCACCTAACAACAGAGCACCAAAACATATGAAGCAAAAACTAACCAAAACAAAAACAGAAATTAAGAAATGAAGAATATTTTATATTCTTCCAGTAGCAGATAGAACAAGCCACTTCCAATAATAGATAGAACAACCACACAAAAGATCAACAAGGAAACAGAAGACTTAATACTATAAACTAACAAGACCTAATAGATATTTATAGAACACTACCCA